AAATTTACATACATACATACATACAAACAAAATACAAACATGCATCCAAACATATATACGTACATACATACATACAAACATACGGATAAACATACTTGCTAGATACATACTTGCATACATACATACATACATACATGGTGCACACCAAAAACTTACATGTGGAACAGGGGCAGAAGGGCGAGTTGCTTGACGCCGTGCTCAATTGGCATCAAACCTGTGGAAAACCAAGCACGGTGAACAGGGGTGTGAGAGGTATGCGAATATAAGGGAGTATTTCAATGCGTTTGAGCTCAGCGAGAGGTTGGGGTAATTGAATATAAGGGATTATTTGAATTCGTCTGAGCTCAGCGAGAGGTTGGGGTAACTGCCTACATATAGTGAATAATCTGAAATCCAGTAAACAAATTGACAGAAGTTAAGCAAACCTCATCGAACTTCAAGTAGTTGAGCAGTCAGTGATTCTGAATCGAGTAGTAAACGTACCCCCGTCTTGTGTCTGTGTAACGTTTACAGCCAAATTGAAGTTGGAGAGTGCCACGCCTTTAGGTCGACCGGTGGTGCCAGAACTGTACGGCAGTAGTGCAATGTCTCGTTTAACATCGATATCTACCTTGGGCAAACTCTCGCCATCGCCCGCCGCAAGATCATCGTACCACAAATGCTCCTGAAGATTGTTGTTGTGGGAGAGCGAAATCAGTGTGATGAGAATCGAGACATATAACACTTCTGTAAATGGTGGCTATGGAAGAAATGGTTCTGTATGTTGGGAGTTGAGATAGATATCATTGTTACTGGCCACTTTGACGTTACCGCCATAGATCATGAATTACTGCCCAAGGACTTAAAGAAACCGTGCAACATACGGGACAGACAAATAAAGGGCTTCCATACACACCGAGTTTTCAGGTTTATCCCCGATTACGACCACATGCTTCAAAGGTTTAATCAGTTCCGGTTCGGCCTTCTTCAGGTTGTCGAGCAGCGCAGCGTGAATGACGATCGAGTCCGCCTTAGAATCGTTCAGTTGATACGCAATTTCGCCCGGTGTGTATCCCGGATTCAAGGTGGTAGCGGTGACACCAACCATCATGATACCGTAAAGCACTGGAACGTATTCGAGACAGTTGGGCGACAGTATAGCCATCACGCTACCTTTTTTCATTCCCAGGTCGTTGTAAATGGCTGTGCCCAAGGACATAGCCTGACGTTTCAACTATGAACGAACATTATATGATCTATGAGTCAATCTACGAATACAACGTCGGGTAAATTTATTCATGCACATACAGATTGCGCAACGCTGGCTGTGTGCAATTTTAAGCGTGTTCCTGTTGCTGCGAAGGCATATGACAAGTATTGTATACAATTCTACTTAATCCTTTCCAAGTACACAAACTAGGAAAGGAGAACCCACCACCATTCCCTTAATCGCGAACATATACATGTAGAAGAATATAAGTACATACGTATAATATAATATAATATATATATATATATATATATATATATATGTATGTATGTATGTGTGTGTGTA